AGGGGGCGCATATGTGCAAAAAAGATGATTGCGCCCATTACGCCGCACATGTTACATATCGCCGTGAACGTCGGAGTGAGAGCAATAATTCTAGGGCCATCAATTACTGATAACACTAAACGGTAACACTAAACTAAACACTAAAGCGGTAAAAGCTTTTAAAGTGTCGCCTATGGCCAATTTTGGGTATGGTAGTTTTCTGCGATTTCGCGGGTGCGCGTAATTTTAAAGCTTGACATGTTTGGTGTCTATTTACCCGACGTGACCCCGTCTTTTATATTTTACAAAAAAACTGGGTGATAATAAATGTTTCCTAACATAATGTAAAAAAAAACTTTTTTTTTCCAAAATTTTCAGTAATTTTTCCTAATTATAGTAAAAAATAAAACCCGAAGTGGTGATTATATACCACCAAAAGAAAGCTCTATCTGTCCCCAAAAAATGGTATAAAATTCATCTCAGTACAGCGTTGAATGACGGAATAAACGTCAGTCAAAGTACCACAGCGCTGAATACTGAAAAATGGCCTGGCCAGGAAGGGGGTCTAAACACCTGGTCAGCAAGCAGTTAAAGGAGAACTATGGGGTTAAGGCTTTTCCCCATAGTTCTCCTTAGGGTAACGGGAGGACACAAACTAGCGTCCTCCCGTCACCCTAGGCTCAGTATACCGCGGGCTGCTGCTCGCGGTATACTGAGACGCCGCAGCTGAAGCGGTTCGTGACAATTGTGCCGGGATCCGCCCAGCTGCGTGAGTGACAGCTGGCTCTGCCTATCTAGAGGCAGAGCCAGCTGTACCCGCCCCCTTCCCCGTCCGTTCCGCCAGTCAGCACTGGCGGAATCGGAGCGGGGGGAATCCAGTTCCTCCCCTGTCACGGCAGGGTTCGCTCACCTCCCGATCTACTGAGCCGACCTGTGACAGTCTCATTGTCACAGGTCGGCTAGAACTATGAGGTGAGTGAAAAGCACTCACCTCATAGTTCTCCTTTAAGGATGACGAGCACATGGGCAAATTGAGGACTGAATAAATGGGCTGTTCCCATCCTCTAGAATTTTCTATTACTGAAATAATATACAGTCATATCTGGAATATGACTCAGACAGCTGCAATACAAACTCCATGCACATTGTACAGCCTGCTGAATACAAAAAGCAGCTACCAATACAACCGTTACCATAGCAACGTAACCTCTTGCAGTATGACACATTAATTAAATGTTACTCTGCAGTAGTCAGGCTGGAGGTTTATAGGCGATTTTCAGGCACCAACAAATCTGTGTTCAGAAGTAAAGCCGGCCATACGCTGCTAGATGTTCGTACCAACATTCATGCAAAAAAAAACATCAGAACATTCGACATGACCTTTTTGGACTGCATGACAATTCATTTGTAACATTCGATTTTGGAAATAAATGGAGTTTCTCGATTAAAAACCACAGACACTGTTAGAATTTCGTTTTTGCTCCAGAAAAAATTCCATCCTGCTCCTTTTTTTTTTATTAGACACTACGGTCAAAAACTGTCGCCAGTTTGACTACACAAATAGCAGAAAATCAAATAAACATTCCAAAAAGTGTTTTTTAACAAAAGTCTATGGCCAGCTTAAAGGGGGAGGGGATTGCTGAGAGGTCAGGATTTTTGGCAAAAGAGACATGTAAAGTCGGCTAAAAAACATTCTTCCTCTCTCCCCCAGCGATTTTTTGTTTTCTTTTTTGTGTACACTGTATAGTGCAGGGGTGGGCAACTCGGGCCCTCCAGATGTTCTGGAACTACAAATCCCACAAGGCATTGCAAGACTGACAGTTACAGGCATGACTCCCAGAGGCATGCTGGGATTTGTAGTAAATGCACAGCTGGAGGGCCGGAATTGCCCACCCGTTGTATGGCGCATGGGCCGCACAATGTAAACACTTACCCATTCACGGCATTTCTAAGGTGCCATAAATTGACCAGATACCGTGAAGGATGTAACTGCTGTGCACATTTATCACCACCGAGAATTTGGGCGAGTACTTGTACTCTCCCAAATGCTCCGATACTTACTCCCAATACCCGAACTTCCGGTATCAGGAAGCTGGGTGGTGAGTAATTATATGCCGCCCAGCTTCCTGATTGGCCGGGAAGCCGGCTCCATGCTTCCTCGTCACACCTGGCTTCCCTAATGTAGGGTGACAGTTCGTCCCTGTTTTCCGGGGACAGTCCCCGGGAACATAAAATATATATATATTGTTTTTATACTCACCTGATCCCTGGATCCACCGACGAGCGCAGCCTCCGGTCTCCCGCGCTGTCAGAAGCTGCATACAGCCAGGGGTGTCCCGAGGCCGGGTGTCACCCGGAGTGGAGGCCGGGTGACACCCCATCATGATGTCATCACACATGCGCGGCCATCTAATTGACACCTGCCGACGGCCATCTTGGTTATGGACGCCGGCAGAGAGAGTAGGGGAGGTTCACACGGCAGGATGAGGTATGCCGCCGGGTCCCCTCCTCTCTCCTGACACTGTAGGGCTCTCGGTCCATGACCGAGTGCCCGACTTTTTAGAGGGGGTGACACCAAAATGACTGTCAGTCATGATTGGCCGGGAAGCTGGCTCCATGCTCCCTCATCACCAAGTGATGAGGGAGCATGGAGTCGGCTTGCCGGCCAATGAGGAAGCCGGGGGGGCAAGTTATTATCCCGCCCCGACTTCCTGATTGGCTGGGTAGCTAGCTCCATGCTCCCTGGTGACGAGGGAGCATGGAGCCGGCTTCCCGGCCAATTAGGAAGTTGGCAGCGTGTAATGACACGCTGCCCGGTTTCCTGATACGGGAATTTCCGGTACTGGGATAAGCATCGGGAGCATTTGGGCGAGTATGAGTACTTAGTATAAGCACCGATACTATCTCATTGCCAGATGTTCTATATA